TAGTTTGAGAAAACATTAATTTAAATTAGTTTTAACTGAACTGGTTTGAATTAATTTATTTCGAATAAGTTCGGGCACATCCCGAAGATAAGACCGGTAAGATGTGATCCGTCAAGTTTGATGCTTAAGTTAATAAGCAGTCTATTCCAGCTATTCTAACATGATGTTAGAATAGCTGGAATAGACTGTTAGAGATGTTAGTAACATCTCTCACCACATCTGCCTTTAGCTTGATCCAAAAGTCCACAACATTGCATCTTGTAAAACAGCGATAGAATTTTCTGTTATGTAGGATACATTGCAGCATGACCACGGTATCGGACTATATAGCGATAAAATTAGTAATCGTCATAGTCCTCGACATGAATTAAATCTATCGAGACGCCACGTTAGACCGCCACACGGAAGTCTATCGTGACATATCGCGTGATATAAAGGTTTCGCTTTCCATCCCGACAGATTATTATCTCGATAAGATGCTTTGTCGCAATGATGGAGATCTCTATTTCGATAAAAATTTCATCCGGAACAGAAAATGATAACTTCATTCCGCATGGTATATCGCGATAAATTTTTTCATAGCGGTTTAACGTGGCGTCTCGATAAAGTTAAGACCTATCGAGATATAAGATATAAAATATCGCTTCTAATCGCGATATCTTATCGAAAAAAAACCTCATGGGTAATGCTTTCATAATACATAGTTCAAGATGTTTATGTTCATAAACAAAGGGAAGAGGGAAATTACCGACAATGTTGGGAAGAATGTTAAATATCTTGTTTATCTCGATAAATAGCCATAAAATTATATCTCGGTGCATATCAATACCTTATTTTATTTCAAGGTCCTTAATGTTTTCCTCGATAAACATCGACATATTGCAATCCGATTTTTGTAGCTTAACAGGTTCACCGTCCATGTATCATATGTGATATGGATTCAACCAATGCAGTTTTTCGTGCTCTTTCCAGTCGAACGAACCAGAACATGCACGGAAGCATTAAAAAATACGCTGAAGCGTTTCGCACTACATCTAACTTCATTTTGTAAGAAGATTTTAGAGATGGGCGAGTGAACGATTTTTCGAGTCGAGTCACGAGTCATACTTCCTTTTGCCGAGCACAGTCGAATCGAGTCGAGTCGAAAATAACTTGACTCGACTCGAATCCACTGGAAAAATGACTTGACCTGCCAACCTCTGGATGGTTCATGTTTCCTAACTTGAACAGCTTTTTCTTATTCCATTTATCCAGTCAGATTGTAGAACAGTGGGTGTCTAAGGCTATGATAATTTATTTAAGAGCGTGCCAAAAATGACTTAGCACCATTACACCAAATCGTTGAACAAGAAGTGAGAAAAGCATTGTTAACAGTAGAAGCTCTTGCATTATTGCCCAGTATGCTAGATATGGGTAACATTGATAGGTCGATGTTTTATGTTTGTTTATATGGATGTGTGTCTTTTCAGGTCATACATTACTGCAATTTCGTCGAAAAATGACTCCTATTCTTCCAGATTCATCGTCATTTGTTATTCCACTTCAATATACAAGAGATTATCATAACAATCAGCGACTATTACTTCATGATAGTGATGATCCTCTATTTCGAAATAGTCAAGCTGTACCCACGTGGAAGAGTGTTAGTTTGGTCGTCGGATACTCAACTCAAGCTAGTATATCAACTCAAGGCACATTTAGTATATGCCCACCTCACTTCGACCAGTTGTATATCATGCATGGAATTGTACATGACACATGTAAGTTAGTTTGGTTTAGACAAATATTTACCTATTTATCTACTTATTTTTTTGGTTTTTTTCCTTGCTATACTTGTAGGTTTACCGGTGGTCTATGCCCTACTTTCGGATCGTTTTGCAAGCACATATGTGTATTTAATCAATGTCTTGTTTGCTGAAGCAGCTCGATTAAATAAAAAATGTGAACCGTCGCTGATTTTGAGCGACTTTGAACCTGCTCTTGCAAAAGCAATTACGCTTGAGGTACTATTTTTTATCACACCAACCCTCGCTTTTAATTGAAACTATTTGCATCGTTTTTTTTTAGTTCAACGAGAAAACAATCCACAAAGGGTGTTTTTTCCACTTTTGTCAAGCAGTTTATAGGAAGGTGCAATCACTTGGCTTATCATCGACATATCTGGACAATGTTATGATACGTAGTACTGTTCGACAAATTATGGCATTAGCATTAGTTTCGGAACAATTCGTTCCATCGTTGTTTCCTCGTATTGGTGAAGATTTAGATGATCCTGACCGCGATGAACTATCTGATTTATTCAAATATTTTGATGGATATTGGATGAGACAAATACCAATATGGAATGTTTTCAATTTGTGCCAAAGGACAAACAATACATGTGAAGGTATGTTAATGTCTACATGTTTGGGTGTGACGGAAATGTAACTACAACAACTTTTCAGGTTACAATAATCGATTGAAAAAACGTATGGCTAAAATCCATCCAAACATATGGCAGTTCATCGATTCAATAAAAAAAGAGACAAATACCGTAAATGATATTATTATACAAATATCAAGTGGAATGGCACTTCGTCCAACAGTACCAAAGAAAAAATTGACTGAACGACGAATACAAGAATTATATGATCGTTCTTCTGCTGGCGCAATATCAGAAAAAGAATTATTAGTTGGATTGTCTTATTTTGTGGCAAATAAAAAATAACCAAAATAGAGAAACTCAAAACATGCATAACAACAATATGATCGAGCGTCGTTTACGTTTCAGTAGAAGGACACTTTAGATTAGGGATGCAACGGTAACGGTTGACAACCAGTCAACCGTTACCGGTCTAACCGGTTTAACGGTTACCGGTAAGGACCGGTAACGGTAACCGGTAAGGTGCGGTTACTGTTACCGTTGCATCCTACTTTAGATGAACTCACATTTTTCTATGATAGGTCGATGTATAATTATAAATATGAGATCGTTATATATAAATATATTCGCATAAGGACATTCTACCAGGAGACATTTTCTGGAGGACCTTTTTTCCATGGACATTTTCCTCTGGACGTTTTCCCGAAGGGCATTTTTCCCAGGACTATTTCGCATAAGGACATTTTTAGTCAGAGACATTTTCTTGAGGACATTTTTTTCGATGGACATCTTGCCTGAGACATTGTCCCGCAACGACATTTTTCCATAGGCCCAATTTTTTTGGACATTTTCCCCGGGACATTTTAAAAAGGGCATTTATGACCTATACCGTTTCAGGTGGTTTGGACAACTTTGATTTTTTACCTCAAAACATCAGAGTTATCCAGACCACCTAAAACGGGCTCTGTCAACTGCGAGCCATAGGTGTTTACTGCAAAACAACCGACATAGTTTAAGTTTAAGCAGAACTGTGTATGAACATGAGATAGTTTTGAGCTAAGCAGAATTTAACATTTTCGCAGCAGAATTGAAAAAAGAATTGAATATAAACTGATGGTAAAAAGTTTAACAACAAACTTGTTCTTTTGTTCTTTAGATTTAGCAGAATTGAACAAGGATGAGACACAATTGAATATGGAAAAGCTAGTAGACTGATCAAGCTAACCAGAATTCAACTAGCCTATTGTACCGTACCAGTGAATATTTCTATGAGCCCATGAAACCGCATACAATCGCTTTTCTAACACCTCACGGCTTGTTCACGCGTTACACTGTAACGTTTTTGACGCATTAAAATCCGCTTTTCTCAAAAACGAAATGAGCTAGAGAATTCGTTCTTGCGCCATTCGACGCAGCTTGAGCTCCTCTATTTCCCATATAAAATTCGAAAAATTTGATTTAATTTTGGAGGAGCTAGGTGCAATTTACCAGGCCGTTACACTGTAACGAAAAAGGCCCTTTTTTTCCGAGTGCCTGTCATAAAGTGCGAAATTCCTGCGAAGTTTCTCAGTGAAGCAAAAATTCACTTGAGGCATTTTTGTAGAAGACGAAATTTGCTATCGAATGGTGAAATGATCAAGACACTATTTGTTTTCCGTAATTAAAAAACTCAATTATACTACCGTTACACTGTAACGTTTTTCGTTACACTGTAGCGCAATTTTAAGGTTGTAACTGCGGTACTCTTAAAAACTCATTTACATCGCCGTAAAACGTCCTAGAGACGCCAAATTTTTACCAGAGCATGTTCTCGAACATATCTCTAGACCTTTCCGGAATTTTTCGGTTTCAACTAGTTTTGGAGGAGTTATACAAAAAAAGCGGTTATCACTGTAATCCACCCGAAATACTGCTTTCGGAATGTAGATTTTTCCGGCCAGATTTTTTCCATGATATTTATACATGGTTGGAATCAGCATCGAATTCTGAACAAAATGGCTGATTTAGATTTTCCCGAGAACCGCTCTACAGCCTGGTACAAATGGATTCCCAGATTTTCGACAAAAAAACTTCCGCAACGAAGTAGCGCGTTACGTGGACAAGCCGCTCAGCATTCCTCACAACATAAACAATAGGAGGAGGAGGGAAGAGGGGTACGAATGAGAGTGAGTAACAAGTAAAACATTTCAAAACGGCGCCGAAATATTTTATAAATCATGAGAGCTGAAACTTGCAATTCTGTTTCATCCTTGTTTGATTCTACTGGATCTATATTTAATTCTGTTTCCAGTTCTGCTGTGAAAGTGTTCAATTCTGCGTAACTTGATTAGTGTATTTGCTTTCGGCATTCAATTGTCTCATCCTAGTTCAATTCTGCTAGATAGAAGTTCAATTCCACTCTCAATTCTCTTGTGAAGATCGTCAATTCTGATCAGAGCATGTTCACTTTTTCTGCCTAATTTCATCACATTACTCGCTTTTCCACATTCAATTATGTCTTGTCGTTGTAGAATTCTGCTAGAGATTGTGTCAGATAAAGTTGTTGTGTGATGGAATTGAGATAGAATTCTGAATGTTTAGCAACTCCGACATCCCTCGATCCAAACAAATCTTTTGATTTTGTATTATACAACCAGAGTCATATACAAACAGCGTCGATTTTTGAATCATTCGAGTCCATAATTATGGATTGAGCACTATTTGTAACTAATTAAAGGGCAATATTCCCTTATAGTTAGCAAACGATAACGGACAGTAGAAATCTGGAGTCGAATTTTTACTATTGCCCCACCATGCCGGAAATAAAACATTTCGATTGTCAAACGCAAAAAATATGATACATGCACTAATTTGAACTCCTATATCCATTGCGATTGAAAACAGAAGAGCATAGCGTTCCCACCACCATTTCCTTATCACCATAGTAAACAGAAATCCAATAATAAGCCATGAAGGTATTACGCCAGCCACACCTGTAAATCTTGTGAAACCAAATATGATTGGTACGTGCACGTAACGCAGCCATTTAGTGTGTGGATATTTTTTGCTAAGGATCCAAACCAGAATGGGCAATATACCACCGATAACGCTTATAGATAGTAGCTTACTTGTAACTGACTCTGGACCAATAATTTTTGATGCCCCTTAATAAAACAAGACGTATAAGGGAAAGAATCGAGCAGATTTTAAACCACTTACCAACTGCTCCTAGAATAACAGGTGAATAATCGACAGCGCACGACCAGCCTTGTGTGCTACAGATATCAGATGTTACCACAACACGGTTCACTCCAGATTGAATTAGAGAGGATACAACGGTGACGAAAAGTTGAACAATGAACAGTGAACGAGGTGAAATCTTCATATAATGCCCAAATTTTAAGTTACTAATGAGAGACAATGATACTAGTTGCAATTGATAGCTGTAAAGCACAAATGTGAAAATTGGTACTGCTTGATTCAGAATTGCACCAGCAAAAAACTGCGCTACGAAATAGACATTAAATGAAAGGGCTGTTGTTCCGTGCATAATACCGATGGGTAACAAACAAATGATTGTGAAAGGAATGGCTACACAAAGATAATACCATGGCATTAATTGACCATAGTGACAAACAATAGCAGATATGATGAATGAAACGATGAATACAAGTATGTACCACCACTCAGGGGCTTCTGGGTATTTGGCCATTAGTGTACAATGGATATCATTCTCTCGTCGTTTGAGTGATGTATGAAACTGTTGAAGAATATCTTTGCCGTGATATAGAATGGTATGAACAAGAAGAGCAGCTAATGATCCAAAGACTAAATAAAGACCAACTGCGTCTCCGCAAGACAGGAAAATTGGCTCATAGTATTTCACAGTCGTGCTATTGCGCATAACTTCTTCAGCTGGAATATCAAGTATTGTCCCATATTTATTATAGTAATATTGAGTAATACTAATTGGCAAACGTTGAAAATTTGACACATTAGTATAATAAAGAAGCGGAATAAGAAACCAATTGAAGAAAACAAATCCAACGAGGCCGTTGATTTGTGCAAATCGTGGAACTAAAACAGGTGAACTAAAGCTGTCAGTTATACTATCTGTTATCGTTGCCCAATCAAACACTAATGCTCCCATTCCAAGACCTCTATAACCGGTCAGTTGTGAGAGAACGATGTTGTTTGGATCGATCATACACATCCAGGAGAATGAGGTTAAGCTCGTCATAATGAGACCAGGTAACCAGTAGTAGAGGGCTTGACAAGCACAAACAATGATGAAGAACTTTAATCTGGTCAGACTGCGCCATTGGAGAGCTGTTGATTGTTCTCGTTCGTGAAATGTGCGTAATAAAGCGACAATCGGTAAATTTGCAGGCCAGATCATCGTTGACGGCCATACAAGAAATCGACGAAGTATACCTGAAGAGATGTTGTAAAACAGGAGATTGTTCCATTATATGAGTCTGAGAAAAGTATTCAAAGCATCAACTGAGAACCAATTTCAGATATCTCTGCTCAGACACCGCTAGCTACTAGAATATGAGCTTATTCCTTTTGTGTTCGACTAAGGCGTGAACTCGAATGCATGTACTCCAAAGCGAAACGAATGAGTGATTTCAGAATCGAGACATGTTTATATCGTATATCGATCGGAGAGATACTCGATTTATGTTTCTCAAAATCGCAAAGAGGAGCGAAAATCGCACGAAAAGGTTCAGACCTTCGAACGTTCTCTACTATTGTAAGGAATAGTACGGTTCAGCATATATTTTCTTTCTCCAGACACGGTCGAATAATGGGCAAACGCTATTATATTCTACGATAGGTCGCAGACTAAGGGAACAGGCGCAAGTCATGTGGCAGAACTATTGCATGACTGGCATCGATAGGCTTTAATCATCGTCAGCATATGTAATAATTAGAAGGGAGATACCGATATGTGGCTGAGAGAGCGAACATGTTTTGTTTAATAAACTTTATTTCTTATTATTCACCGAATGAATCACTACTTTGCTGACTTGTCTGAGCATAGAAGTGCATTTTTCGTTATATAGAAGCATTGTGAATCTGAATCTAATCTCTTTGTTCTTTTTACACCTTAGTATATATTGATCTACCCGACACTATTGTCGTGCTATTTTACGAGGGAAGTCCACCAACTCGAAAATCGTTTGCGGGCCAAACTTCAGTGGTCCACAGGTTATCGACTGTCCTGAATCCAAATATCACCATGAGACCGGCTGTTAGGCCTTGCATGACTCGATTTTTCAGAAACCTCAGAAAATCCCCAAAACTCTTTCTAAATAAGTCACGATTGTAGCCCGCGAGATTAGGATTAAAATGAGACATCTCCCAGCTCTACACAACCTTTCTTTGCAAAGTTATAAAATTTACAAGCTAAGCCCTAAATGTTCATTGTCACCTCAGACATTAGAGTCTCATGCTCCATATCCCGATCGGGATATATATCCCGTTTTGCACCAAAATATATCCCGATCGGGATATCACCAAAAAACAGATGTCCCAATCGGGATATAAATTCGATTTTTTTGAGTAAAATTCATTAGCGAAAAAATGATGATGTGATCATACAGCCGAAAAGAGCGTAAAAAAACTACATCAGATTCTTTTTTTTGTGGCCAAGCCTTTTTTCCGGTCAACAACTTCTTTTTTAATAATTCTGAAGGTTCATATTCTATATCCCGATCAAGATACTCTACTTTTTTTACTAGCTATATTATTAATTTCTCGAAATATCTTGTCATCTTCTCCTACTCTGGACGTGCACACGGCAAGAACATACAGTGAAATATTTACGTAAAGTCATCCTCATCAATCGCTATTGGTCGATTGAGTATCGCATCGCAGTCGATGTTCAAACTCTGAATGAACCTTTTGTCTAGAAAAAAAATGTTTTTCTTTTTGGACATAAAGTACATTTTCTCAAAAATTATTTTTTCCACTGCCGAACAACCATCGGCATCATCTTAGCGCTGCAGTTGGATTCATTTTACACGAGAAAATGCATGTTTTAAGTCCCTTGTTTTTTGTTTTTGTAATTCTGGCTTGCCGGCTGAAGTATCGCGAAGTTTTCGTAACCAGAGTGTCTGTTAGAAAACACAGTTCATTTGTCTGAACATGAATTCTGGCAAAAAACTTTGCAATATCTTCTGTCCCAGTCCAGATGATTCAGAAATTTTGAAAACAAAAGAACGGTCAGAATAAAAATCCATTCCCTTTAAGGAGCTCAAAAAACCCTCTCATCATCGATCGCCGTCACATAAAATTAAGCAAAACTTACTGTTTTAATTAATGTCTCACGACGTTTGTATTTACTTTGAGCTCGTTTAACCCGGTCTTTTTGAATGTTGCCTTTATAGGGCCCGTATGATGTTGTTTACTTGATGAAGTTTTTTTAAGGCTAATAATGATAATTAGCTTTTTCTTTATTACTTAATAATGATAAGAAAAGCTGCGTTGAATAAACTTTTACTATCGGTACAAGTGTTTCTGTGTTATACTGCGCTCCTGATGATTTTCTTGTTTTCCTTCCATATGTAAGCAGAACAAATAGTATATGGACAAAGCACTGATGCAGAGGTGCAGACTCTACCCGCATGCGGTAACGGCCGGTTGGAGAAATTTTTGGAAAATTATGGGGTATAGAAAAACATTTTGGGAAAAATTACTTTTTTCGAACATACACGCTAAACAGAGTAGCCTTCTTTTTTTATTTTTCCAGCCGGAGAAATTTTTCGAAAAAACCCCACCGTTCGGAGAAAGTTCTGCAGATTCTGCACCTCTGCACTGAGACTCATGCAATCGCTTACAGATTTCTTTCAAGTGTGCGAACTTTTCGGCAAATCAATTCATTGGAATAAAGTTTTAAATTCACATAAGAAATAAATGATAAGTCATTTTCTGTTTTCTTTTTTTAATGACCTTTTACCATTACAGAGATATCCACTATTCTTTAGTTTAGCAGTTGTCTTTTATCCAGTAGACTAGTGACCTAAAAAATTTTGAATCTTAAATATCTAAATAATGGTAACAGGTCATAAAAAAACGAAACCAGAAACTAACACCTCGTTTAATTCATGATTTAAAACTTCATCCAATGAATTGGTTTGCCGGAAAAGTTGAAAAACCTGTAAATGACTGAACTTTTTTGCTACTGATTTTTTTTGTCTATTCACATACTAAATAATCTATAATACACTATAAAGCCGTAACACACATGCAGATCACACGCACGAGAGAACAGAGCTACAGAAATAAAAAGGAATTTAGGACTCATCCTGCAAATTTTATAACTTTGCAAAGAAAGATCGTGTAGAGCTGGGAGATGTCTCATTTTGATCCTAATCTCGCGGGCTACAATCATGGCTTATTTAGAAAGAGTTTTGGGGATTTTCTGAGATTTCTGAAAAATCGAGTCATGCAAGGCCTAACAGCCGGCCTCATGATGATATTCGGATTCAGGACCGTCGATAACCTGTGGACCACTGGAGTTTGGCCCGCAAACGATTTTCGAGTTGGTGGACTTCCCTCGTTAGTATTGACTCTATCAAATATGTTTTTTTCATGCAGATCAAAATACATTCAGCCTCATTGTTATTCATCATTTGATATAGTTCTCCTCTTCAATAGAATGCTTGCTACATTAGGCATTTTCCACTCAATTTCAACTCTTGCTACTTTAAATGATATATCTCTTGTAGCTAATTCCGCAAAACAGCGTTAGTTACTTCATTCCTTCGATTTTCTGACAGTCTCTATAGAATAAATCTTGTAGTATTTAACACTGTACTGGCCTTCATGAATTTTCTAAAGCGGCGAAAAAACCAAGTTCATATGAAAGTATGCACCGAAAATTACGTTTGTCATATTCTTGTGGCTTATACTTTCTTCTTACGTCCATAGCAAAAGATGATTTGGAAAGGAATCTCGTCATGAAGAAGAGAAACAATTTGTTTAACACGAGACTCACTTTTGATTAGAACTTTTGATAAAGGGTTTGCTTTGTCACTGCGTCTACTAAAGCAGCTATTGAAGGGATTCATATTAGGCTGTCTGAAAAGCACTGTGATTACACATCACATTTAAGTCTGAAACAAAGCATTTCTTTTCTAATCCATAGGCGAAAGAGCCTAGATTGACAGCTACCTTGGAAATGGTGAAAATGACACCATGCGTTCTCAGGCTAATTCAGAGATGTATTTTCTGATGGTCCTCGACACTTGCAACATAATTTTTTATTCTGTTAGAGTGAGATATTTACTTATTCGGTATACATTTTACAATCTCCGAGATCATCAAAGTCCACTTTCGAACTTTTGCTTAATGCCCATCTGGATGTCCACTCTGTGTGGATAACGACTCTTCTTACCTGCCATTCCGTATCCCATCACTTGTGTGGAGACTATAAGCAGAATATCCAGAATTAACTTTGTATTTGCTTTTATGTAAACGTTATTAACCACAATAATATCCGTTGCAGTCGCAGGTGAGTTGGCCACGAGAATTATGACGTAAATAAGAGCATGTTCCTTTATCGTAAACGAGCTGGGGTTCAATGAAAACCTCCACTTGAACATTTGGAAACGCCTCTTCGGGAGACACCACGCCAGACAGTGACCTATTGGATAGACTATTAATAATAGAATAAGTATTGGAAATTGATAGGCTACTGAACGATAGAGGAAATATTGGTTAAAGCTGGGTACTATCCCGACACATATAATCCCGATCAGAGCGCTGCGAAATGTTAAACACGGCATTTCCTGATCATCTTTGTTCGGTACGATACCAGCTATCTCTTCGTAGGATGCTTGTTCAGAATCGATGTAATTACTTTTGACATCAGTGGCGTCGGTGAGTGCCATCGTATTCAACGCTATATCTATTTCTTGGGAGTTTCCAGTCATCGGACAAGTTGTAAGTAATTAATATGTTAGAGCCTACACAGAAATGTAAAAATGGTTAGTATCCATTAGCAAAAACTGCTGATGTACTTTGAATAGATTCTGAATGTTGATAGCAAAGATTCATCGTCTTCGATACTCATCTGGATAGATATGATCCCAATTTCCTTACTGGAAAGACACAGTTTCAAGATAGTCTTGAAAAACCCTTGTGAGCCTTCAGAAGTTCAGTTAGAGACACATCTGTTTCAATCCATTGATAGATTGTCCCGAG